ACTGAGTGTTGACCCCAGGGCCTTGGCACTGGCTAGATCTGAGATAGGATCTCCCTAAATTGCTCAGGCTGGTTCAAATTTATGACCCTCCCCTCAGTCTCCTGAGTAGCTGAGATTACAAGTGTATACCTGTGTGCCTGGCTCAATAATGTTCTTTAAAGAAAAATTTGGAGGGGCCGGGGAGATGGCTCAGTAGAATAAGCACTTCCCTGGCAAGCACAAGGGGCTGAGTTAAATTCCCAGTTCCACCAAAAAAAAAAGAAGAAGAAGAAAAAAAGAAAAAAGAAAAAATTGGGTGTGGTGGCACAAGCCTGAAATCTCAGAACTGGGAAGGTTGAGGCAGGAGGGTCACTGAATTTATATTTATTTATTTATTTATGTATGTATTTATTTGTGTGTGTGTGGCCAGCTCAGCCCACCAGGGGGCGCGGCGGGCTGGTATGTGGTGCTGGGGGATTGAACCGAGGTCCCTGTGCTTTGGCAAGCTTGTTCCAAGTAGGTGCTTTAGACCACTGAGCCATCTCTCCAGCCCCGGGTCACTGAATTTAAAGCCAACCTGGGTTCCCTAGTGAGACTCTGACTCAGAAAAAGAAAATAACAATGACAGCAAACCAACCAACCTGTAATAAAAATCAACATCCGTATCTCCGGTGCAGATAACATCCTGCCTTTTCTGGGGTGGGGAAGCAGCTCAGTGGTAGACTGGTTGAGCACTGACAGGGCCTGCAGAAAGCCCTGCGTTCAAGCCCTGGAACTGGCAAACGAATAAAAAAATAACTTTGTGGGTTTTATTATACAAGTCTCTAGTCAATTTTTCAGCCTGGAACAGTTAATCAGTCTTCTTGACCTCTCTCTCTCTCTGTGGTACCCAGGACCCTGCTCTTGCCAGGTAGGCACTTATTCTACTGAGCTATTTCCCCAGCCCTTGTCTCTCTTTTAAAATAAAAGATTCATTTGTTACAAGCTCTCACTATGCAGCTCAGACTTGTAGAGCTCCTCCTGCCACAGCCTCCCCAGTGGTGGGATTACAGATGCGGCCACCAAGCCCAGCTCAACCTTGACTTTTTCAGAGATCACGGGATGTTTTTTTTGTAGACAGCTCGTGGGCTGGGCTTGTCTTGATTCTTCTTCACGATTAGCGCCTGGGTCTGCAGGAATACTGCAGAAAGGGCACTGTGTTCTGATTGGCTCCATTTGGTAGACAAGATGTCTATCCACTGTGTTTCTGATGTCCTCTGTGATTATGGTGGTGACTGCCAGGCCCCCATGCCTTGCCTCTTTCTCCTTCATGCTGAATTGGTGTCTGGGGCGAACCACTTTCAAAACATGATTGCCTCGCTCAGTAAAAGCACACACATTCCACAGCTCAGCAGCTGGATGCTCAGGTTTTCGTTACAGTCCTGGGCTGTAACCTTGTTCCCATGGATGCCCAGCTGCCCTGATCTGCAGAGCAGGAGCGCATTGAGCCAGCTTTCCTGTTCTTTCGTCTGTCTCCATCATCTCTTCCTTCAGTACTTCTGTGCTTCCATTTGCTTGTTTCTTTTGTGCTACCAGGTATCAAGCCCCAGCCTTTAAATTGTATTGTGAGGCTGGGTCTCATTGAGTCATTAAATTGCCCAGACTGGCTTTAAACTTGCAATCCTGGAGTGCTGGGATTACAGGTGTGCACCGGGTGCAGCTACTTCTTTGCTGTCTACTGTAAGACTCTGGGTCCATCTCAGTCTTTCCTCCAGCCTTACATCCAGCTCTTACATCTAGCTCTTCCCCAAGACACCTTGCACCTTATTTTTTAAACTTTTTTTTTTTTAACATTTCCTTTTTTATGGTCAGCTCAGCCCACCCGCTGGCATGGCGTGTGGTGCTGGGGATCGAACTGAGGTCCCTGCATGCTTGCCTAAGCTTGCTAAGCAAGCGCTTTAGACCACTGAGCTCTCTCGCCAGCCCACACCTTGCACCTTAGAGTAGTGCTTTGGAATTGAGATTTGGGGTCTGGCTTATTGCTGTTGGCAGGGGCTGGGGGTCACTTCTCCAGAGACAGAGCTGTATTTGCTCTTAAATCTTTGCTCTTGTGTGTGTGTGGGGGGGTACTTTTTGGAGACAGGGTCTTTCTACACAGTTCAGGGGCTGGCCTTACGTTCACTTTGTAGTCCAGGTTGGTCTCGAACTTGCAGTGATGCTCCTGCCTCAGCCTCCCAGATGCTGTGGCTGATAGTGGAGCTGCTGGGGTAAGACCTCACCAATCGCAACTCCCTGCAGCTCTGGCTGCCCTCTGCCAGCCTGTGTAGCTTCACAGGCTCCTTCTAGGCTGCAGCTGGGTGGCAGAGCCCTCCCTGGCCACTACCTCTGGTCAGGAGGTGCCCAGCAGATGTACTCTGTAAGACCACCCAGGGCCACCATGCTGGGCAAAGCCCAGCTCCTGGCAGGCCTGAGGGGTGGCTCTGAACAGCCTGGGATGGGGTACAGACTGCTAGGGCTCACAGCCTGGCTGAAGAGCTCAGGAACAGACTCCCCTTGGTTCAGCACCCCCAAATGAACTTCCATCCCACTTTTTTGCTCCATTATGAGATGCAAGGCATCTTTGAGATTACGGTTTCTGTCAGGCATGATGCTACACACCTGTAATCTTAGCTACTAAGGAAGCTGAGGCAGGAGGATCTCAAGTTTGAGACCAGGTTGGGTCATACTGAGATCCTAATTTTTTTATTTTTTTTAAAGGGCTGGTGAAGTAGCTCAGAGGTAGGGCACTTGACTAGTGTGTGCAAGGCTTTGTGTCCAATCCTCAGCACTCCAGAAACCAAACAAGATCGTAGTTCCTGCTTTGCTAGCCTGGAAGTCAGACTGGCTTGTTCATCTGTCTTCTGTGCCTGTCAAGGTTGTGGCCCTTTCTTTGGGCAGTCTGCAGAGATCAGCGTGCAGGAGCCAGGAAGAGTTGAGCACAGGACAGCTGAGCATCTGGCCAGGCTCAGGGGGCTCAGTTGGGCCGCCCTGTGGGGCTGGGACAGCCCTGCAGCCTCTTCCACTGTTGTGTCTGACCCTCTGTGTAAGGCTGGAGTGTGGTACCTGCCTTACTCTCTACTTCAGTGTTGTTTTTTCAATTAATCTTCCTGAGCTGGATGGCACATGGCTAGAACCCCAGAAGGCTAAGGCAGGCCACACCAGGCCTGAAGGCCATGGAGTGCTGCCTTGTATCCTAGGCGGCGTGAGGAGGGGCTGGGGCTGCCACAAGGCAGGCAGGGCTCTCGGAAAGGGCTTGCCTTGTGGCCTGCACCTAGGTCCCCCAGGAAGCACTGCTCTTCCCCATTCACAGCTCTTCGAGCCACAGGTGGGCCACACAGGATTTGCTTTCTGAATGCTCAGTATCCCAAGCTTTGACAGCACATCTTCACGAGTCCCCGGAACAAACTAGAGGAGCAGGGGGTGGAGATGCCAGTTTGCAATCCAAGCCCTTGTGAGGCTGAGGCAGGAGAATCACTGCCGATCTGATGCCAAACTCACATAGGAAGACCTATGTCTCAAAAAGAGCTAGGATGTGATTTCTGCCACCACAAAGAGCGAGCAAGTGTTTAAGTGGTATGCTGGGGCTACTCCAGCTCTGTTGATGGCCCCTCTCAGTACCAAGAACTACAAAGACCGGGCGTGGTGGTGCATGCCCATAACCCCAGCGATGGGGAGGTTGAAAACAGGAGGACCACTATGAGTCTGAGCTGCAAAGTGAGACCCTGTACCAAATACATAAAAAGAAAAAAAAATAAAACCAAACAAAAAAACCCCACAAGGGCTGGGGATATAGTTCAGCAGCATAGCTCCAGCCTGGCAAGTACAAGGCCAAGTTGGGATTCCTGGTACCAAAAAAAAAAAAAAAAGAAATGCTGTTTCCTTTACACCCAACTCCCAACATTTTTGATGCACAAAGCCAGGCTCCACATCACTGAAGCCCTCCAAGGGCCACAGGGCTTGGGAGAACCTCTGGGGTCCCTGAGCAGAGACAGGCACAGCACCTTGAACAGAGGGACCAGGCTGAGTGCCCTCAGGAGCGCTGAGGGACACCGACATGAAAGGCCAGAGCAGCACCTCCTCTGGGCTGGGAAGGCCAAAGGGCAGGTGCAGCAGCAGCCCTCCTGCTGCTGCTAGCCCCTTAGACCCACCTTGTGGGCAACCGGGCCCCATCTTTACTGTCCCCCTGAACAGGCTTCTCTCCTCAGCAGCTCAGAGGTGAAGCCCTTGGTCAAGCTTTGTGACTAAAATCTCCCAAGGGTCTGACAAATCATCTCTGCTGACTTTGGTTCCTCCAAAGCTGTGAGTCTGTATTTTAATGTCTTCTGTGTACTATGTATAGCAACTGAGTTTTTGACAGGTAACATTTGTAAGTCATATTGTTTCACACCTTTTTTGAGACAGGGCCTCACTATGTTGCCCAGGCTGGCCCCAAATATCTGGGTTCAAGCAACCACCCTGCTTTAGCCTCCCAGGACTACACGTGTGTACCACTGCTCTGGCTTCCTCTTTAAGCTTGCTTCATCTGAAATCATACTGTCCCATTTCTTCTCATTTCACTGTTCTCAATTCCCCACTTCACTGACCTATGTGCTTAAAGAAAACGTAAATATGAAACCGGCTGAGCAAAACAGGAAAAGATGATTTCTCTTGAGCCCTGAGGGTCCAGAGAAAAGCAGGGAGTCTGGGCCACAGAACCCTAGGGAAAATGGGGAGCTGGGCATGAGGCCAGACCCCAGAATCAGTTCAGGCTCTGAGGAAGTAGGGGCTGAGACAGCAGGCCCATCCTCACCAGCCTGGGGCAGTGGCAGCAACTAGGGCAGCTGCTTGAATGGATGAGCACTCTCCCAGGTTGGATGCTGGCTGCCCAGGTGAGGTTAAGCGGCACAGCAGCGCTGCCCCCTTAACTGGCTCTGCCCACCACAGTTGTGGACCCCCTATGCCTCAGGCCCAGTGCAGGAGTGCCGAGTATAGCAGAGACACCAGCCTCGTGCCTCAGCAGTGGGTAGCTAGAAAGCAGCGGGGACGCAGAGGTTTAATTTACAAAGCAGCTTCAAGGACCCAGCAGCCAGGTGGAGTCCAAATCCCGCAAGGGGCCTCTAGTCCCTTCCTGACACAGTCATTGCAGACCCTTGGCTGGGCCCCCAATTGTGCACATGACACTCCAGTCAAAATGAGAGAGATGAGGGCGTGAGGCTGTCCCCAAGTCAAGGGAGGCGGTGGAAGCCTAGGTCCGGGATCTGGTATGGCGTCCATGTCCTGGGCACCAAGCTCCTGGCTGCCTGGCCCAGCAGGCAGCCTAGAGGAAGCCCTCCCGGCGGAACTGCTCCTGCAGGAGGGCACGGTACTGCTCAAAGCCTCCCTCGACCCGGGTGACGCCACCTCCTTCGCACACCCACAGCTCCCGGCACACCAGGCGGATGAAGCGCTCATCATGGGACACCAGGATCACACCACCCTAGACAGGAGAGCAGGGTTCAGTGGCTCACAGGCGCCAAGGTGGGCAAGGGAGGAGCAGATGCATGCATACTCACTCGGAAACTGTTGAGCGCGCGGCCCAGAGCCTCAATGGTCTCCATGTCCAGGTGGTTTGTGGGCTCATCCAGGATGTAGAAGTTGGGGCTGGAAGGCAGCAAGAGGTGGGCATTCATGGAAGAGGGGCATAGAAGAACATGAAGCTATGACACAAAGATGACAGGGAAATGGGAGTCTCTAGGACATAGGGACTCACCAGGGCATGGTCATCTGAGCGAAGGCCACCCTACTTTTCTGGCCTCCTGACAAGCTGGCAACAGGGCGCATGGCCAGCTCTCCAGAGACACCGTACCGGCCAAGCTGGTGGCGATACTCCTCTTCCGGCCGCCCTGCGAAGGCCCCAGCAAGGGCTGAGTACCGCCCCACTTGCCTCCCAGCCCCTGGCTTGGCTCTGGGGTACTGCCCCCCATCCCGGTCAACAGGCCTTGCGCAGGTTGTTGCCTCTGCACCTGGGAACTTGCGTGCCAGCAGCTCCACCGCGCTGATGCTCAGGTCCAGCTGCTCCACGTGGTGCTGGCTGAAGTAGCCAATCTTGAGGTTCCTGCAGGTGGAAGGAACAGCAGGAGGTGGAGGCAGAAGGAATCAGAGTGCAAGGGCATTAACGGGTGGTGTGGACACCTTACCTGTGCGCACGCCGGATGCCGCGGACTGGTGCCAGGTCCCCCAGAAGCAGCTTCAGCATGGTGGACTTCCCGGCCCCGTTCTCCCCGACCTGTGAGCGTGGTGAGGGTGGGGAGCAAAGGGTTCTGGGCTAGCCCTAGGACTTCAGCGAGAAAACACAGTCCTAGCAACTGTGTGCACAAGTAAGCTGGAGACCCCAGAGGACCAAGGGCTCAGTACTACAAGTGCTGCGAACTGACTGCTACTCATACCCAAGGCAGGCAGCTGTTTCCTCCCTTTTTCTTTTTTTTTTTTGGTGGAACTGGGGATTGAACTCAGGGCTCTTGCACTTGCCAGGGAAGCGCTTATTCTACTGCGCCATCTCCCCAGCCCGTTTCTTCCCTTTTAAGGAAGAAGAAAGTGTGTTGTGACCCAGCCAGGAGCCCTGAAACCCATGCTCCTGCCTCAATGTCTGGTAGGTGAACAATGTCTGGTAATTGAAATAACTCAGAACAGCCCAGTAAGATAAAGTGCTGCTTTAGTACTTATAAAGCACCATGGGGCCGGGGAGATGGCTCAGTGGAATAAGCGCTTCCCTGGCAAGCACAAGGGTCTGAGTTCAATCCCTGGTTCCGCAAAAAAAAAAAAAAAAAAGGACAGTCTTTGGGGTCGGGGAGATGGCTCAGCAGAATAAGCACTTCCCTGGCAAGTGTAAGGGCCTGAGTTTGAACCCTGGTTCCGCAAAAAAAAAAAAAAAAAAAGGACAGTCTTTGGGGTCGGGGAGATGGCTCAGCAGAATAAGCACTTCCCTGGCAAGTGTAAGGGCCTGAGTTTGAACCCTGGTTCCGCAAAAAAAAAAAAAAAAAAAAGCACCATGCCCGCCTCACCTATGAGGTTGGTCCTGTGGGCCTAGAGGTCAGGCAGGGGTGGTATGAGGACAGCACTGTCCCTCCTCTGACCCACCTCGTGGTCCTGTGCCCCTCCCCCCCCATGGCCACAGCATCAGACCTAACCACACCCAGGAAAGACACACAGCAACCATACCACACATATGCGTGACTCCAGATCGGCAGAGACAGACAGGCCATTGAAGATGATGTGCTTAGGATCATAGTAGAAGTCCACCTCATCCAGCTGCAGAACTGGCGGTGAGAACTTCTCAAACCCATCTGGAAACCTGCAGGAGGTGCAGGTGAGGACTTTGGGGTTGGCCAGTGACAAGAACTGCCCCCTAGCACCGGCTAAGCACTTACTTCATCACCACCTCTGACTCCTTGTCCACTGGTTTCAGTTCCGGTCTGAGGGGAGAAATAGGGCAGACCAGATTTAGACTTTCAGAAAACCTGGATGGCCAGGCTACGTCCCTAGCCCTCTCGGTGCCTTTTCATCTTTAGTTAATACACTGTGATGTTTCCACGCCAGGGTTCTAAACCAAATAAAGTTAACCCTCGCCCAGAACTCTGTGGCTGCTTCAAGATTAAACCCCCAACATCACATCACTAGTATTAAGGGAATGCTAATCAAAGGCACAAAACCTCACTGTGAGCTGGACATGGTGGTGCATGCCTGTAATCCTAACACCTGGGAGGCTGGACTATATCGCAAGTCCCTGTCTCCAAAAAAAAAAAAAAAAAAACCCTCACTTTTCACTGTGACCACTGGCAGGCCAGACCTCCTGGGGACCCCCCGGTAACATCTAGCTGCTGGCTGTGCTGGTGGATGATGTCTGTGGCGATGGCATTCAGAAAGTTGCAGTTGTGAGAGACAACCAAATAGGATAGCTAGGGGCCGGGGAGACGGCTCAGTGGAGTAAGTGCTTCCCTGGCAAGCGCAAGGGCATGAGTTCAATCCCCGGTTCCGCCAAAAAATAAAAAATAAACAGATAGGTGAAACTCTGAAGCATTAAGATGCAGTGTTAGCAATGATGTGGAAAAATCACAACTCTCTACAATACTCAGAGGAGTGTAAAAATAGTGCCTTTACTTTTATTTATTTATTTTTTTTAATATTTATTTATTTATTTAGTGTGTGTGTGGCCAGCTCAGCCCACCAGGGGGC